GAGAGAGACATTTACATTTATAAGAGAAATCTCCATTTGTAAACCTGTCTTCCTCTCTGCGCCAGGAAGAGGGGGCGATGATCTTATCTCTAGAAACCCTTATCAATGGAGAATGTAACGATTTAGATTTGCATCACAACCATATTCTTCTTTACCGTGCTTTGCTTGATAGCCTCCCCAAACTGGCCCCTGACCTCCCTCCCACGACCTCTCTGTCGTTAGCTGAAGATGGTGTTTTAAATGATGGCTTGGATCATTTCAGAAATTACTGTTTTCCTGGGTCTCTCCCATATACACAAGAGGGAGGCATGTTATGAAATCTCTGTTTGTCTTTCTCCTATTAATGACTTCTATTATAGAGTGGGGAGGGGGACTCTCAGCCAAGAACCTAGAAGGGTAGAGGGAAAATTATTTTTCCTCCCCAACAAAGTCTTTACCAACGGCCTACAAAAACCTACAAGATCTGGCCCCTCTGCTAATTAGCCGCGTCTTCTACAACCTTCGTTTTCCCTCACTCACTTCAGCTATACTGTGCTGGACCCTTTGCTGTCCTTAGAATGTGGCAGTATGCCCTTCAAGTAGGCAGGGACTTTTGTTTTTTTGTTCACTGATGTATTCCTAGCACCTAAAACAATGCTGGCATATAATAGGCACTGAATAAATATTTGTTGAATGAATAAGTGAAGGAAAGGATGGATGTTCCCCATGACAAGATTATAAAAGCATCTACCCATTTTTCCTCTAGGACTTCAATGCTTCTACTTTTTTGTGTGTGGGGGGGGAGGTAATTGGGTGTATTTGTTTATTTATTTTTATATTTTATTTTATTTTTTTTTAATGGAGGTAGTGGGGATTGAACCCAGGACCTTATGCATGTTAATCACACACTGTATCACTGAGCTCCACCCTCCCCCTCTCAGTGTTTCTACATTTTACCTTTAATTTTTTTGTGGGGGGGGAGGCAATTAGGCTTATTTATTTGTTTATTTATTTACTTATTTAAAGGGAGGTACTGGGGATTGAACCCAGGACCCATGCTAAGCATGCTCTCTACCACTGAGCTATACCCTCCCCCTACACACACTTTACCTTTAAATCTTTGAGCTGGAATTTATTTTGGAGTAAGAAGTGTAGTAGGAATCCAGATTTTTTCCCCCTTCAGTTGGCTCTCTAATTGTTTTGACACAATGTATTGAAAAATCAATCATCCCTCACCCCACCATTTAAAAATGTTTCTTAAGGCACACTTCAGTTCCTTTTTTTTTAAATTGAAGTATAGTCGATTTACAATGTTGTGTTAATTTCTGGTGTACAGCATAGTGATTCAGTTGTGTATACATATATAGATAGTCCCTTCCATATTTTTTTTCATTATACAGTTCCTTTTAATGGAGTATGAAGTTTGGTTAAAAGTCATCATCTCCTTCATTGTAGAAAAAAATATAGTAGAAAAAAGATATAGTAGATATCTTCACTCATTCTGCCAGTTCCTATATAGATATCAGAGCCATACATTCGTTAAAAACTTTTTTTCCTTTCTTGTTGCAGTTAATTAGGTAGGCTATCTTCTGGACAGTGGCTTGGAAAGCCTCCCAATCTTTAATCACATAAAATTCTTCTGTCCCTTCCTCCTTGCTTCATACCAGATAACAGACGTTTTTAGAACATGCGGCAGGGTATCTTTCTGTAGTGTGGAAAACAGGCATAACTGGATGCAGTGACCTTACATCTGCCCTTCCTGTAAAAATGCAAGGCTGACAGGTGTGCTTCAATTTATTCATTACAGAGTGATGCCTAGATTGATGACTGAAGGTTACTTAATCATTTAATGGGTTGAAGTTTTTAAATCTGTGGACTGTTTTTGTTTTATTGTTGTTTGTTCAGTAAAGAAAAAAGTGACCCCTTTTTGGGTAAATTGGGATTTAAGACAAGGCCACCAGGATTCATTAAATACTTACTATGCACTCATCTCATACTTAAGTACCACGGAGGACAAAAAGAGCTTGTAATTCACTCAGCCAACATTTACTTGGCACTGACTATATTCCAAGGATACCCAGTAGCAAAATAATATCCCTTGACTCAGATTATCCATGGACCATTGATATGGAATCTGGAGAGAAACAATGTGTCTAGGGGAAAACTACAGTAAAAAGAAAATTGTAACTGTATTTCATGATACTCCAAAGGAGTAAATAGAAAGAAGTAAAGGGAAAAATCCAGACGATCTATGAGAAGGACTATGGGATTCAGAGGTCAGTTTTGGGCAGTGAGATTCTTTATCCAACTGCCTTTGGCCAGAGTCCCTCACACTCAGCTGGCCCACATCCCCTCTCTCCTGGATTACATCAGCAATACCTCGCTTCCTGCCCTCCCTCCCCCAGTACAGTCTCCTGACCGCAGCCACAGTGATCTCTTTAAGATGAAATCTGATTACCTTGTTCCACCCCTTAAAAAGGCTCCCCTCTCCAGTGCCCTCAGATCTAGACAGTAGGGCCTCTGCCTCTCTCTCCAGCTACTTCCTTTTTCCTCTCTGTCTCACCTCTAGATTCTAAGCTACAGCCTTAAGGATCCTCTCCTATAGTTTCCTCAACTAGCCACTCCCTCCTTCTCCCTCTCTCTTCTGGTCCTTGGAGGTGCCATCCCCCCGTCTAGAGCACTCTACTCCCCACCCCTCCACATTGCTGAGCACGAACTGCAAAGAGCAGAGTGATCTGTTCCACACGGAAGCACATTTCCTTCTTGCGACCCAGGGGGACAGGGACATCTGTGGTAGAGTCAGCCCTGTTCTGCCCTAAACTGAGGTAGGCCTGGCTTAGACTCAGAGCCGAGGGAAGGTCCTGCAGTCCTTCTGTCCGGATTTGAGACGGAGAGAGAGGGTGCCTGCCTGTCCCGGGAGAAGGACTGCTCCGAGTTCCGCCTGAGGGTGCAGACACTGCTGAGCCTGGCATTTAAGTGGTTTTTGCCAACCTGGCCAATTCCCAAGTATCGAGAGAGCCAATAATTTACATAACTCATTCTGAAGGCAAGTGGACATGACTTTGGCTTCACTGGTAATTATTTGGCTGGGAAAAGAAAAAACAAGAACAAATATTCTTGTCCTACTGAGTATGATTCTCTCCATCAGTGTTAATAATTCGGAGCTGGTTCCAAAGCTCCTTGGGGCTTTTACCATGACCTGAGCATCATTTACCACCACCTGCCTGGCATATATCATAATTCAACCTGATAGAGTAACTGTGGAGAAGAAAAGTAACAATGGTCCATAAATTCTCCCCCTCCTCCAAGATAAACTGGTAACTTTTTAAACATATTTCCTTCTAGTGTTTTTCTCTCCACATGCATTTAAAATTACAGTTAATATTTTGCGATTTGGCACCTTCTTTTCTTTTCCTATTGTATTCGTTTCTTTGGTGGTCTCGTTGGGTTTCATTACTATTTCTAAAGTGACAAATTTAGTCCTGATCTGAGCATCAGATTTCTCTACCCTGCCCCCCAGCCATTCCCAAACTTGCTCCTCTGCAGCCATTTTGGTAAATGGCCACCACTGCCAATACTAGATACTCAGTCATCCATAAAGACTTACCCTGTGTTTTTCAATTCCACCCCAGTGCTTTCCCATTGGATTCATTAACAAATCCTATCCATGCTACCTGCCATATACACCTAGCAATTGTCCTTCTTCCCCAGATCCACCATCACAACCCTAACTCAAGCCATTGTCCTCTTTCTCTTCGTCTGTTTACACAGCCTCATTGGTGTCCCCATTTCCACACTTATCCCCTGCAATCTTTTTTCTTCCTGTAATCTTGTAATGGGTTTGAATGTTCTGCCTACCTTGGTTCCGTCACTTTATGCCCCTTAAATTCTGGTCATCCTGAATCTCTGTCCCTTGATACATGCAAGCTCTTCCCCTTCACTTTGTGCTTCTTTTTCTGAAAAGCTTCCCCACCCCTCAGCTTTCCCACCGCTAGTTTCTTCCTTCAGCTCTGATCTGCCAAGTGGCTTCTTCAGATAGACCTTCCCAGATGGCTAAATTGAACTTGGGCTTCCAAGTATTGTCCATCAAAGAACCTCGTTTACTTCCTCCCTGGCACTAATCACAACATGCAATTGTTTTATTTGTTAGCTGTACTTAAATTTTTATTTAGTTTTTAAAGAAATTAGGAAATTAGAAATTTTTGTAATCCCCCCCCATGAGTAGTATTGGCAGACAATATACAAAACGCCCAGTTCAATTTGAGTTTCCGATCAACAACGAAATTAGTTTTTTGTGTGATACTTAGACCTACTTATATTGGAAAAACTATTTGTTATCTTAAAATCAAAGTTAACTGAGTGTCCTGTATTTTTATTTGCTAAATTTGGCAGCCTTACCTATGAGGCGCGTTGCCCTTGTCGCGCTTGCTCTGGGTTGTTCCCTCACACCAAGCCGAGACTGCCTGCCATTCTGTAGGTGCTCAGTAATTGTTCCATATAAAGGGATTATCTGTCTGCTGTTTTTTGCAGTTTCTTTCCCCTGCCTGACATTTACTTATCAGAATTTCCCCCTTCACCAAAAATTCTTGTTAAAGATGTTTGTGGAAAACACATTTTACTATCTAAACTTCTTTGTTTTCCTTTTCTGCAAAACTGGCACAGTAGGAGTATCCGGCCTTATGACATTGTTTTGGGAATTAAATAAATGAGTGTAAAGTTTAGCGCCGTGCCCAGCCCACAAGAACATGCAATAAATTTCAATTCTTTATTACAGGCAGCCCGTGAACCATTTTAGCGGAAAGCAAAAACGCGGGTCTGTGGAGCACGGGTGGGGGCTGGGAAAACGGTTAGAAACAGGGGCCGGCCGGAGAGCGGAGAGCCCGGGAAAAAAGGAGGGGCGAAGGATGAATGACAGCGGAGGCAGCCAATGGGGAGGCTGGGAACCGCTTCCCCCTCCCTTCGGGTTTCAAATTCTAAGCTCCGTCTCCATCCGGGTCCTTCAGCCTCGTTCCCGGGCAGTATAAAGTTTGCTGTCTCCTTTGTTCGTCCTCGTTGCGCAGCAGTGCGAGCGCCTTCCTCCTTCCGTTTTCGGTACCGGCCGCTCTTCCGCGTGCTGAGGTGCTAGGAAGCCGCTTTCGGTGAGCTCTTAGGAGCCTGAAACCGCCGTCACCCCGCCGGTACGTGAGTCCTTTTCTCCAGTCCGTTTTGGTCCTCTCCTGCCGCGTCAGAAGTTGGGATTATCTCCCGGGAGATGGGGGGTGGCGGGCGCCATTTTAAGAAGCCAGAGGTGCCGACCTATTTAGATAGAGCTGCGAGTGTCGTTAAGGGAAGCGGACGCAGGGGGCCGCGCCGTTGTGTGCCTCCGGAAAGTTTGGC